GCGCGGGCGGCGACACCTCTGAGGGGGCGCGCGGGCTGATGGCGGCCCCGCCGCAGCTCCCCGGGCCGGGGCAGCGGCTCTCTCCTCAGGCGTCAAGCTTCTTCACACAGGCCTCGTAGAGATCGCCCCCTACGCCCGCCCTGCTCGGGGTCCTTCCTCCTCCTCCTCCTCTCCTAAGGGAGAGGGCGCTGGGCCCGAGGGACACCCTCCCACCGCTTCGTGTAAACCCCTCATCTCTGGGGCATTCCTTTCGCTTCTGGGTGACATCAGCCTTTGCCTTCCCTTCTAACAGCAGAAATCAGCAGCAGTTTCTCTAGAAAGCCGTTTAAGAAGCAGCTATCAATTGGAACCACTTTTTATTTATTATAGCATCATTATTAATACATTTTATCTTGCAGCAGTATCTGCTCCTTGTACCCACCCCAGGATTCAAAAGGCAGCAAAGCTCCCACAGAAATCAGTTCTGCTTGGCTTAAAGCGTAGTCTTAAGGTAAAACACTCAGGTGTTTCTCTTTCCAACTCTCTATAACCCTGATCAGTAGAGCATCGTCCAGTGGCCATCTGAATTCCACACAGCGTGAACACCACATCCAGTATCAAGTTTTGAGGACTGACTTGATCCCTGGGCCAGGTATCTCCGTTAAAATAACACAGATAGGGCTTCTAAGGTCACAAACACTTTTGCTTCCTGTTACAAGACCTCATTTTCAAATACTTACAGCTACCAAACGCTGATGAAGTTTTAGTTTGACAGTGTCAATCGCTTCTGAAGACGAGGCTGGAGAAAATATTTTGTTCATGTTAACTACAGCTTGAGACTTTCAGATGTCCGTATTGGTCTCACCCCCCTTCTTCTGAACCTGGGAAATGAAGCCTGGATGGGAAGGACAGGCAAAACGCACAGGCATTGCACGTGCTCTTCAGCCATAAGAAAACTCATCCAAATTTACCTCTGAAAAAACATGTTTTTGCACAAACTGGCGAGACTCAAGTGTAATAGCACCTCAAGGAGACTCCGCCCTTGCTCAGAGCTCAAATCACTCGCTCTGTCAGGGTACCACAAAGGATTTGGGGATGATGTTTGCTGCAACGGCTGCTCCAGCCAGAAGATGAGGGGCAAGTTCTGATACATGAAGGACCCGTCTCAACTATGCCTGCCAGCATTTGGCCGATACCTAGGCCAAACAGAGACAGGAGCCACTGAAAGAGAAGGCAGAAAAAGGAAGCTCCGGGTCTCTCAGTCAACAACAGGTAAGGAGAACAAGTCACGGGGAAAGAGCCCTATTGGGAAAAAAAAGGGTAGGAGGAGGGGTAGATTAAAGAGCATAAAACCTGAGGAAACTAAGAACAGGGAAAGGGGATGCGAGGGGCACCCAATCTGTACCTTCTACAACATGGAAGATGGAATGTGAGACTGAATTTTGTTATTTGTTTGCCAGGGA